CTCGGGTTAAGTACTTAATTCGTTCCAGAGGTCTGTTCTTAACCTGAAACCGTTCTTAACCTGAAGCACCACTTTAGCTAATGGGGCCTCCTGCTGCTGCCGCGTCGCCGGATCACGATTTCTGTTCTCATCCTGAAGCAAAGTTCTTAACCTGAAGCACTATTTCTGGGTTAGCAGAGTCTGTAATCTGAAGCGTATGTAACTTGAAGCGTATGTAACCCGAGGTACCACTGTACTGTGGTACCTTGGAAGTCGAACGGAATCTGTTCCGGAAGTCCTTTCAACTTCCAAAATGTTCGGAAACCAAGGCGTGGCGTCTGATTGCCTGCAGAAAGCTCCTGATGTTTGGGTTCCAAAGAATGTTTACAAACTGGAACACTCACTTCTGGGTTTGCGGCATTCGGGAGCCAAAATGTTCGACTCACAAGGCGTTCGCGAACAAAGGTACGGCTGTATTTCATGAACCCAAAACACAGCACATGGTAATTTTCAGTATTAACTACCTAAATCTATTGAGAGTTGTTCAAAGAAGACTAAACAATTCTTGGCTTTTGTTTTTCAGTTCATCAGCCTTGTTGCATTAACTGTATGCTGTTGCAAAAAGAAAAGAAAAAAATCTTGCGAAAATATAAACTGTGAACCAGTGAAAGTAAATTGTCCTAGACACATAATAGTAATCCAAAATTTTGCCAATTATAATTCATTAGATGTGTCATGACAATTTGACTATATTGTGCCCTTGAACCTGAGTCACATTCTTAAGGCCACAAAGGCAATTTTAGCTACTTCCTTGGTTACACTAGCAACAAGTCTTACAAGACTCATTCAGTGAATGAGACCATATAAATGGTGGTGTGAAAGTCTGTCTTACTCTAGTGCTGCCCACAAAAAAAGGCCAGATCATTGCTAGTTTTTAATATAATGTCCCTTTGTCATAGATCCAAACCTTAAAGCAGGTAACAAGGAATCACGAATTACAGATTAACACAACCCAATCCTCATGTCTGCAGAGGGAGTTTCATTTTTTTTTTTTTTTATAATATTTTTTATTGCATTTTTCCAGATAGAAATACAAGGTCAGATATACAAAGAAATAACAGAAAAGAGAAAGAAAAAGAAGAAAATCATCTTTTCAAAGCATTTTTCCATAACCAACCGGACTTCCCCGTCCCCCTCACCTTGCGTTCTTTACAATAAAATTTTTCAGCAAATTATAACCTTATTTCGTGCATTCTTTTGTTCTTTCAAATACTTGTGATTTGCGTTTAAAATGCTTATTGTCAATTTACACTAATAATATATATAATGTTCTTTTAAACGTTAGTCCTTTCATTAATATAGCTTAGTTTCCCATACCTTAATCTTATTGCTGGAGCTGAATTTCCCTAATCATGCGAATTCTTAACATTCATATAACTTATAAAATTTTTGTAAATAATCTTTAAATTTTTTCCAATCCTCCTCCATTGCTTCTTCCTCCAAATCTCGGATCCTGGCAGTCATCTCGGCCAATTCCATGTAGCCCATCAATTGCGTCTGCCACTCTTCCAGTGTGGGTAAATCTTGAGTCTTCCAGTATTTTGCGATAAGAATTCTTGCTGCTGTAGTTGCATACATAAAAAGGTTCTATCCTTCTTTAACACCTTCTGACCGACAATGCCCAGTAGGAAGGCCTCTGGTTTCTTGGGAAAAGTGTACTTAAACACTTTTTTAACTCATTATAGATCATTTCCCAGAAGGCCTTCACTTTTGGGCAAGTCCACCAGAGGTGAAAGAATGTCCCTTCAGCCTCCTTACATTTCCAACATTTATTATCAGACAAATGATATATCTTAGCAAGCTTGACTGGGGTCATGTACCACCTGTATATCATTTTCATAATATTCTCTTTCAAGGCATTACATGCCGTGAATTTCATACCAGTGGTCCATAACCTTTCCCAGTCTTCAAACATAATGTTGTACCCAATGTCCTGAGCCCATTTTATCATGGCTGATTTGACTGTCTCATCCTGAGTGTTCCATTTAAGCAGCAAGATATACATTCTCGAAAGTACCTTGGTCTTTGGTTCCAACAATTCTGTCTCTAGTTTCGATTTTTCCACCTGGAAACCTGTTCTTTTGTCCAGCTTAAAAACCTCTTGAATTTGAGCATAGTGAAGCCAATTTTGCACCTTATTCTTTAATTTTTCATAACTCTGCAGCCTCCAAGTTTCTCCTACTTTTTCTATAATTTCCCCATATTTCAGCCAACCAACCTCCATATTAGGTTTTTCCGGGCCTTGGCCTCTGCTGGTGAAAGCCACCTCGGAGTCTTACCCTCTAATAAGTCCTTGTATTTTGTCCAGACCATAAATATTGATTTTCTAACAATATGATTTTTGAACATTTTATGAACCTTTACCTTGTCGTACCACAAATATGCATGCCAACCAAAAGCATTATCAAACCCTTCCAGATCTAGAACATCAGTGTTCTCAAGAAGTAACCAATCTTTCATCCAGCAGAAGGCCGCAGCTTCATAATATAATCTCAAGTCCGGCAGGGCAAACCCCCCTCTTTCTTTCAAGTCAGTTAGTATTTTAAACTTTATCCGGGGCTTTTTGCCCTGCCAAACAAACTTGGATATATCCTTCTGCCACTTTCCAAAACATTCCACTCTGTCCACAATCTGTAGGGTTTGAAACAAAAATAACATTTTCGGCAATACATTCATTTTTATAGCAGCAATTCGACCCAACAAGGAAAGTTTCAATCTTGACCAGATTTCCAAATCTTTTTGATTTCCAGCCAACATTTTTCATAGTTGTCTTTAAATAGATTCAAATTTTTCGCTGACAAGTGAACCCCTAGGTATTTCACTTTTTTACCACACTTAGTTCTGTTTCCTTCTGAAACCCATCTATTTCTGAGGGTGTCAAGTTTTTCCCCAAAACCTTAGTTTTTGCTTATTCAACTTAAATCCCGCCACCCGACCAAACTCATGAATCAATTCTAATACTCTTTTTGTACTAGATTCTGGCTCCTGTAATGTTAAAACCAAATCATCTGCAAAAGCTTTCAATTTATATTGTTTCGCTCCGACCTGTATTCCTTGTATCAACCGGTCCTTCCTAATCATGTTCAGTAACACCTCCAGGACTGAAATAAATAAAAGGGGGGATAGGGGGCACCCTTGTCGTGTCCCTTTTTCAATTTTGAACTCATCTGTCACCACATTGTTTACTATCAGTTTAGCTTTTTGCTCAGAATAAATTGCTTCTATTCCATTTTCAAACCCCGTCCCACTCCCATCCCTTCCAGGTTTCTCTTCATAAACATCCAAGAAATATTATCAAAGGCCTTCTCCGCGTCGATGAAAATTAACACAGCTTTCGTATTGATATTAGTTTGTAAAAGTTCCAAAATATCAATAATGTTCCTGGTATTATCAAAAGATGTCTCCCTGGGAGAAAGCCTGCCTGGTCCTTATGAATTACTTCGTTAAGTATTTTTTTAAGTCTGCTCGCCAAAATATCAGCAAAAATTTTGTAATCCACATTTAGGAGTGAGATGGGACGGTAGTTCTTAAGCTGAGTCTTTTCAGATTCCAATTTAGGAATCAATGTGATGAAAGCTTCTTTCCACGTTTCCGGTGCCCTCCTCCCCTCCATAATCTGGTTACAGACCTCCATTAGTGGTTGTATCAAATAGTCTTTTAGTGTCTTATAGTACTTGGAGGTAAGTCCATCTGGGCCTGGAGATTTGCCTAGTTGCATATTCTGAATGGCACCCTCTATTTCCTGTCGTGTTATTCTATTATTTAAGATTGTCCTCTTCTCCTGAGATAGTTTGGATAGACCGTTAACTTTTAAAAATTGATCTATCTCAGACACTTCCTGAGGCCCTTGTGTATAAAGTTTTTGAAATATTTCTGGAAACACTTTCTAATTTCTTCTGGTTTCTGAATGTTTCTCCCTTCCACCTCTAGATTAGTGACAAAGTTCAATTTTTGTCTCTTTTTCAACTGCCATGCTAGCAGTTTTCCACATTTATTTGCCGATTCAAATGATCTTTGTTTCATTTGTTTGATTTTCCATTCCACTTCTTGATTTATCAATTTCGCATATTGAGCTTGGTGGAATTTGATTTCTCTTAAAACCTCTTTTGATTTTGGTTTTAATCTCAATTTTTCTCTCCTTCTCTTATCTTCTCTAATATCCTATCTTTTTTCCCATTCCAAAGTTTTTCTTGATTGTGTTCTGTTGTATCAGAAACCCCCTCATTACAGCTTTACTTGCGTCCCAGATTGTTCTCTTTTCCACCGAAGTGTTCAAATTGATTTCAAAATAGTCCTTTAAAGTTTTTGGGCCTTCTTCACAATCTCCTGATCTCTTAGTAGGGTGTCATTCATTTTCCATCTGAAAGAACCGGTTGGAGTAAGTCTCAATTCCACTTTCAAAGCATTATGGTCGGAGCAAGTCTTTGGACAGATTTCCACTTTTCTGATCTTAGGTGCCAGTCCTCTAGTTGTCCATATTTGGTCGATTCTTGTCCATGATAGGTGGGCCTCAGAAAAAATGTTCCTTCTTTACCTAAGGGGTTCCTTGTCCTCCAAATATCAATCAAGTCCATGTTATCAGTTAGTTCAAAGAAGGTTTTAGGTAGTCTGCCGTCTTTAGTTAAATTTTGATTTTGTGACTTATCCATGTGAGTAGAAACCACCCCATTCATATCGCCCATCATTATGATGTTGGTATAGTCCAGATAGTCCAGCATTATCTCATGCAGCTTCTTGTAAAATTCCGATTTCCCCTCATTTGGTGCATATATTCCTAAAATCAAAAACTTTTCTCCTTGTGTTTGTATCTCAATTGCCAAAATTCTTCCTTGCTCATCTTTAAACAGAAATTTCGGTGACAGGTTCTCCTTTGCATAAATCACTACGCCTCTTTTCTTGACTTTGTCTGATGAAATAAATTCTTGGCCTAGTCTTTTGTTGATTAACACTTTCCTATGGAGCCTAGTCACATGCGTTTCCTGCAAGCAAACAATATCCAATTGTTCTTTTTCAAAATATGAAAAATCCTTCGTCTTTTTTCCGGGAGTTCCCGCCATTTATATTCCAACTGTACAGCTGCAGAGACATTCTGAATCAATCTGTTGTTCCTATAGTGGGGTGTCTTCCTTTTCTTCTGGCCCCGAGGGTGTAGGTATCGGTGCTTTTCCAGGCAGTGGCGGTGGCCAAGAGGCTGCTGCTCCCTTCTGAAGGTCTTCTCCGTGGTCGTGCAGGAACTTCTGGTTATCTTCTGATGTTTTAATCTTAATTTTCTTTCCTTTAAAATTAAAAGATAAACCTTGGGAAACTCCCACCTATATGGAATCGCGTTTCCTCTCAGTAGTCTTGCTAGGTCTGTATATGTGGCTCTGAGATCCAAAAGTTGTTTAGGAATATCTCTATAAAATTCTGCTCTTTTGCCTTGGATATCAAGTGATTTCTTAAAGTGGAGGCCTAGTATTTTATCTCTCTCCTGCTTGGATCTCAAAATAATCAAACAGTCTCTGGGCTTGTCCCTCCTCACGACTCTTCCTAATCTGAACGCAGTTGTGATCTTGAAATCTTTGTCCTCTTCTATACCCCAGAACTTGGAAAATTCTGCTGTCAGATAACCAATTAAATCTTCCTGTTCAAGCTCTGGGATAGCTCTTAATCTCAGATTGTTTTCCCGGTTTCTCAATTCCACCATAGACAGGTAAGCCTGCTGATCACTAATGTGCTTGTGTAGTGGCCTTACCTCCCCTTTTATAGCCTCAACTTTTTGATTTGCTTGTTCTGCTTTTTCATTGGCTGCTTCAGCCAGTCTCCGATTTTCCACAGTTGCTTCCTTGAGATTCCCAATAACTTGTGTATGTTGTGCAACTTGGTCAGACAATTTAGTAATAGAGGATGTGGCTTGATCTATTTTTGCCGATTGGTCATCCACCTTCTTGTTCAATATTGCAAATTGTTCTAACATTTGTTGTAAGAAGGTATCTGATCCTCCCTCTGCCATATCCTCTGATGCAGGCTGTGCAGTTTCCTTTTCTTGTACTCCCAAAACAGCTGGGACAGATGATCTACGTGACTGAGTAGTCAAAGTTGTTTGCACAAGTTGGGCTTGTCTTGCTTTCGTTTTCGCAGATCTTGTTTTCGGTTGGCCACTCATTCCACACCTGTCTATGAGTCAAGGTCAAGCTGTATATTGTCCCATGGGAAGGACAGTTCCAAAGTGTAAATAACAGAGCAGCAGATAGTCCAAATAAAATTTGTTCCCAGGCACTTGTAATTCCAGAACTCCACTAGGGGAGTATTACTGTAGTTCATAGAAAGGAAAGAACTTTATCCGCCATTAAAGTCCCTGCAGCCTCAAAACAGTCTAATTTACCAAAAGTTCTTCATAAACTTTTTAGCTTACAGAGCACTTCCCAAGCTGCCACAAAGTCTCAGATAAAAGGTGCCAGTAACAGTTTATTTAATTGTATCTTGCCAGTATCACTCAACTGTAACAGTCTCTATTTTGGATACAGTTTCCGCATTGACAGCTCTCTTTTGTCCGGTCAGTCCGAGGTTTGGTTCTTAATTCTTTATAATCCATAAAGGGGAGGAAAGTCCCATTTAAAGTCCAAAACACTTAGAAATAAAAATCTTTTCTCCTTCTTTTTAAAAGCCAATTCTATCAACACGATAGTCCCAAATTTATAATCTTTTAAAGCTGCTTCCCGCTTGTTAAAATCTTTGCCTTTGATCTTTAAAGCACTGCCGGAAGACGGACTTCCTGTTTATCGTCTCCCGCTTTCAGCCAAATTTAACACTTTTAGTCCCAAAATGATTGATCCTTACTCACGAGTAGGTAGTTTAGAGCCTGATGTTCCAAAAAGAAAGGTCGGCGCTCATCAGCAGCAGCCGCGCGACTTCGCTCCCGCAGAAAGAGCGATGAACTCACAGCACCGCTCCCCTTCCACGTTTCCGGGCCCCTTACGGGGTTCCTTCTTCGTTTTGGGGTCGCTCCTGGTGCCCGCCGAGTCCCACGGCCACGGGCTCACTCTGCCCGTGGTTTTTCTTAATGGGTCACCGCTGTGCCGCAGCGGACGACCCTTTTCTGCGGAGCCCCTCTTCAGAGACCGAAGAGGACCGCCATTGCCGTTTCGCGCCGCCTCCAGGAAGTCTGCAGAGGGAGTTTCAGAACCCCTTGTAAGGTCCTACTGAGGAGCAAAATGGGGCAAACTAGGCACATATACTCAAACCTTCCATGCACTGAAGGGGGCTCTTGGAGCGCTTATATTCCATTTTGAATAAAGATGCTGCATATGTTCACATGAAGCCGTGGTTAATGGCTCATGTTGAGCAGAATTTTTGTTACTAGAATGTAATAATGTTAATAATTATGAAGCAATGGCTGTGATTTGCTGGAAAATGAGAGGATGATTAAGGTATTTATCTTTTTATTAGCTACAGCTTTTTATGATACTTATGGAAATGCACTAAGTAAATTATTAAAACTGAATAAATTTTGCATGAAATTCTGCAACAGCTAAAAATATTTCCGGATTAAGTCACAGATGTGTTTCTTCTTCTTCTTCTTCTTCTTCTTCTTCTTCTTCTTCTTCTTCTTCTTCTGGTGTTTGGCATTCCTGTCTTGATACCTTATGTGGCATGTTTCCTATCAGAAAATATTTTTTAAAATTACACTGCACTTAACAGCTTGAGCTATCAGTTCCAGCCATTTTGTTTCTATTCTTTTCGCCCTTCCCATCTGAAAATCCCTTGCAGGGGGTTTCCGATGGTGTCCCATTCAGGCACTCATCAGGTCCACTGGCAAGCTTTAACACCTTGGGCTTTCCTAGGCCATGGGTTGTTAACCAGTTGCTGATAATGTTGGCACATCACATCATCCCTGATCATTGGCCACTGGCTGATGGGAGGTGTAGCCTAGCAGTGTAGAGCCACAATTTAGCCACCCCTTCATTTTAAAAATAAAAGAAATATTAGCTAGTTCAACTTAATTTATATCAGCCTTAAAACATTAATATTTTTTTCAATTTACAATTTGTAACACCATCAGAGAGGGAGAGGATGAGCAGCAAAAAAAGCACTTACATCAGGATGGAGATGCTGATGTCTTGGCAAAGTGAAGCATCTATTTACCCCATAGTAAGAAAGCAGTATTTAAAGGCAGAATTTAAATATAGCTTTCAAACACAATTTAAGCCCAGGATTCAAGTCATGCTGGTGCAAATCCAACACTAAATCAAATGAGGCAATGTACTGCAGAATGTACACCAGTGGGTGGAGGAGAGAAGGAGGAGCCACCAGGTCACTCCCTAATATGTCTGCAGCAGATCTTAAGGTCACTTACGAAAATGCCCTGTATGTTATGGGTTTACCTTTGCAATCTAAAATAAGTGGTCCAGTTTTTAAATGAAAGGCATTGATGAGGTTTTTGAGGTTTGAAGTTTTTTCTACAATCAAGTGGTATGTAAATTTTATGAAAGAAAAAATAATAATTCATCAAGGTTTCTTTATAAAGCAGCACCTTCTC